CCTCTCCCTCTCCTCCCCTTCCCTTCTCTCTCTCTCTCTCCCCCCCTCCCAGCCTCCCTCCCTCCTTCTCCTACCCTTCTACTCTCTGAAACGCAATGGAAAGAATATCCTGGGGTGAAGATTAAAAAGTAATAATAATAGGGTCCTCAAGTTAGGGCCCTATGGCCTGTTTCTTCAGACAAACCATTTAATTGATTCTCAGGTGCTTTGGTCATTTATCATTGCTATTTGAGGACAAGACTTGAGAAACAGCTGTTCACTCAAGAAATATTTGAGGGACAACTATTCCAAAATATAAACACAAACAACATGGAGGTCATATCTTTCCTCAGAATTTACCATCTGCTGGAAAGAGTCAGCTATTAAATCACACTAATACTTTAGAAAGTGGAATTGTTTGTAGTTAACATCTGTTCTCTTTGTAGGCTTGCCTGGGTCTGCTGATCTCATTGTTCTGGAATATGTACATGTGGGAAAAGTAATCATCGCACACTAGCTGTATGGGCTCTATCTGCAGGGATCCAAGAGTCTTAAGACATTTCTAATGCCTTGATAAGACATATTGGAGGACCCCGCCCAAAACATTTTATGCTGTCTTCAAAAACCTGAATGATGGCCTAAAAAGGGATGGCATAATAAGGTATAAGTAAAGAGATAATATAACGATGTGTTGAAACTTGTAAGTTAGGAGTTGTAATAAAAGCCATTTGCTTATGTATGAATGCTCTAAGAATGTCATTAATATAAGGGATAAGGCTGTGTTATGTCTAACAAAAGTATGACCTTGGAAATTGCTTCAATGTTGCTATTTTTTTTATAAAGAGAAAGTAACCCTGGCTGAGCTAAGAGAGTTGAATATAAATCTCTCTCCTGGGATATGAAATGTTTGGTTTAACTTTACAAACAAGGTTATGCATTCCTCAGGTTCAGCAAACACTGGAGTGCCTTTTATGAACCACGCACCGTTTTAGGTGTCAGGGTAACAGTGGTGAGCAAGGAAAAGGCCTTGCTCTTCTTCTGACACTTACATTCTGTTTGGACAGGAACTAATGCAGAACGAACATCATGTGGTGATAAATACCACCACGGTGAAAACGAAACTGGGTAATGAGTAATTAGAGTAGAATGATCCAGGAAGTCTGTTAATGGGGGTTATATTTAAGCAGAAATGAAACACATTTCATGTAGAGGCACTACTGAGCACAAAGCCCCCAAAGTGAGAATGAACTTGGTGTGTTTCAGGAAAAGAGAGTGTGGCTGAAGTACAGATAAGTGGGGAGGGTGATGAGGTTGGAGAGAGGTAGGTAGGGTATATAGATCTCTAAGCCATGATCTTTAAAAATTTGGAATTTCAACTGCGATGAAGTTAGAATTTTAAACAGGAAAGTAACGTGATATTTCATTTTTAGAAGATCACTCTGACTGCGAAATTGTTAGGGAACTATAGAAAGCGTAGGAAAATGTTCATAGTTTTTTTCCAACAGCTTGGGCAAGAACTTAAGAGCAGTGGTGACAGAGAAACGAAGAGATTTGGAATAAATCTTGAAAGTAGGTAAGAGTTGACAGACATTGCTGATGGGCTAGATAAGTGCGGTAGTTAAGAGTCAAGGATGAGTCCAGCCTGGTGTGGCTCAGTGGTTAAGCACTGACCTAGAATCCAGGAGATTGCAGTTCAATTCTCAGTCAGGGCCCATGCCTGGGTTGCAGGCTTAATACCTGGTTGGGGGGGTACAGGAGGCAGCTGATCAATGATGACTCTCTTATCATTGGTGTTTTTATTTCTCCCTTCCTCCCTCTGAAATCAATAGATATATTTTTTAAAAAGTCAAGGATGACTCCCAGGTGGAGTGAATGGTGGGTACTCCATAGTGAAATGGGGAAAATGGGTTTGTGAGGGGTTAATCAAATTTACATAGCAAGTAGGTCGTTAAACAGCAGTCTGAAGTTGAAGGAAATGGTCAGGGATAAAGACACAAAAGTGGAAGTTACCAGCATATAGATGTTATTTAGATAGGAAGCAATTATTCTAAGAAAGGCTGACTGAGGAGTTATCAGTGAAATAGGTAGAAAACTAGGGCAGTGGTGTTACCAAACTTGAAAAGAAGTACTTTAATAAGGGAGTGAGGAATGATAGGTGATGGCTGGTTGTGACTATGGAGATCATTAATTTCAAGGGACAGTTTTGGTGGAGATGGCAGACTGATTAGAGGGTTGAGGTGAGGAGAGAGGGAATTTTTCTGACTACAAGAGTCAACCTAGAATTTTCTAAAAGGGAAACAAAAATTTGGCAGTAGGTAGCCATTGGTGTAGAATAAGGGAAGTCATCTTTTTAAAGAATTACATGTGTTTCAGAACAGAATTTGTCCACCCAGCGCTAGAATTGCAGTGGAGAAATACTGGCTATTTTATTGATGAATGGCATTATCCAGGAGAATGGGAAGCTAATGCTCAAAGGCTGGAATTCCTCGGTGGCTGGTAGGTTACAGATTACACAGGGCAACTGATGGGTCAGATATGAAGTAAGGGTAATGAATTACTTATTCAGATCTGGAGAACAGCTCTGAAATCTTTTTCAGACTCCCTCTGGTCTCATGGAAAATAGCCAGGGGGTTGTTCCACTTTAGAGTTCAAAAACTGAAACATAACTTCGGCCATGATGTTATCTTTAGCTTGCGAGAGGTCTGGCCAGTATGAGTTAGTCGGGTCCAGGGCTATCTTCTGACCCAGGTTGCTGATTATTCAGGAGGAAAGGCCTAGGAGAGAGGATTTCTAGAGCCAAGATTTAAAACTAAATTTAATCAAAGTCATAAGGACCATCGGTTTCACATATTGCAGCATGTCTGCATGACAACAAAGCATCCCAATAAAGGAAAAAGCAATGCAGGACAAAAAGGATTTTACAGACTCAAAGCCCTAGAACAAGAGGATTGGAATCAAAGGAAAAGGAGGAGCTAATCTTTGGTAGCCCTGTGCCCCATTTGATTGTGGAAAAGAATGTGTTTATAAGAAAGGCACTGCGGTCTATTAGGGCCCTTTCCAAAATGCCTACTCGACACTTCTCACCCCTCTGCTCCTCCCTCTGCTTACCATCTTGGATCATACTTCCCTGAGAAGTGCAGTAATGACAAGGGACCTGCACCACCTTCAACCTTTACCCAGTTTCCCTGACACTCAGGTCAACTCCCTCTTTACATCACCCCAGCGCTGTAGACAAATAGAATAGCACAGTAAGAGAAGCCAAGAGAAGAGGCAGGGACCGGGTTCCGACAGCTTGGTGGCAGCTAGATTAAGGCGGCAAAACGTTAAGGCCACGGAGTGAGCTAGCTTTTACAGCCTGCCTTAGGCCGCTCTAGCAGGCCCTCCATATTTTAGGATTGTTAAAGCAGGTTTAAGGCAAGCTTTGCAGGCGTGGTTGGGGACTGCCTCCCTACGGAAGGATTGTGATCTGCAAACACAGCTGATCTGTAGCAGCTGGAGTCACGAGGCAGCCGGCGGGTCGGCTCCGCTGCGCATGCCCAGGACGCAAAAACCCCACAAACTGCCGGGCTAAAGATGGCGGCGAAGGGGTCTGGAAGTGCTGCCGTCGGCGGCAACGACAGCGCTAAAACCGTGGAGCGGGTTCTACCTATGTTGTTGGCGCCGGTCCCCCCTGAGGCAACGGGGCGTCTGGGAACCCGGGCGCAGATGCACAGAGAGCAGGAGGTTTTGGGGAGCCTGACCGCTGCAGGCAGCCTTCACGTGCTTTCCTTGGCGCCGGGCGGCCGGGGCGGGGGTGGCTGCTCCTTCGATGGCCCCTTTCGGCAGTAAGTGCTGCGGGAGGGCTGGGCTGCGCGGGGGGAGCCCGGAGCCGTAGCTCGGCCGGCCCTACCGCCCCCCTGCTGGCTTGGAGGTAGCGGGAGAGGGGTGACGGCCGCGGGAAGCGCCTCGGAGGCGAGCGCGCCCGGTCTCCTCTCCGGGTCTGTCCGCTTTAGCGCGTTTCCGGGCCCTCGGTTCCGGGTGGGCGGGGCGGCTGCCGCTCCTCTG